GATTTCTCAAGCTCACTGTCTGTGCTGTAGGCGTGGCCTTGTAGAGAAGAGGCCCTGTTAAGTATAGTCTTTTCCCTTGGGAACCACTATGATTCACTGAATACCACTGACAAAGGCTTCATAGCAGGGTCTCCACAGTGATCAGTGATTCTTCCCTTTTAATTCAAAACAGCAGTGAAAACTCCTTTCCAATGAGGGCCAATAAAATCCTTTTTTGGTAAGGTAATAGAGCAGACTCCTCAGGGCAGACTTGGTGTTACATGTCACCTTCAGTTCAGTGGAGTTGTCCTTTTGCATTGCAACTGTAAAGGAAGACTCAGAATCCAACAATTTTGAGACCAGTCTGCACTTCCTAACTACTCATCTCTAAGTCAGCAGGGAAACTTCATTCTTTGGAAAAGGACAGCAGTGTTCTAAAGCGGGAAGGAACAAGTTACCAGGTTAAGACATGCTGTGGTTGTTGTGTACATTCACCTTGAAGGTGCTCTGCACTCAAGCTCTTTGGAAGACAAAGATGGCAAGAAGTGAAATGTGTTTGAATATGATAACTTAAAAGCTACAGTTAGTGAAAAGTTTTTTTACCATATTTATGCAATTAACCATTTACAAGGATCATATTATGGAAGCCATCCATATGGCAACCTACTTTCCTCCAAAATCCCAATTAGTCTAGAGGTAGATCTTGGTGTCTGTTATGTTCTTTTAAAAGAAGTTTCATAACTGAAAGCCTCTGCCCACCCAGGTGAAAGCAAAGACAAGTTGCACGTGACAAGTTGGCATATGTCAGCAATAAACACTTTTTTTTTTTTTTTCTTAAGAAAACTCAACACCACAGGATGAATTCTGGCGGAACATGCCATTGTCATGAAAGTGGCTTTGTCCTGGCTGTTCTAGTAGTCTGTACTGCAACTGTCAAAATAAAAAAACCCATACAAAGTCAGACTACAAGACCACCTAGTCTAGCTCTTCTTGGACAGAGGTCAACAGCCCATACCTGATACACTAGTAAAAATTTGTAACAGCCCATTGTGAGACTCCCCCAGAATAGTAATTTGAAAAGTCTTAGAAACTTCCTGGTTTTCAGTTTTAATATTTAATATGCCCTAAGAGATTACTTTTTCATGGATTTGTCTACTTGTCTTTTCAAACCACATACTCCTTCTCGCATTCACATCTTGTAACAAGAAATTCCATAGGTCAAGTACATACTGTGAAAAGGAAGTTGTCATGTCCCCCCCACTTTATTTTTTTTTTCTTGGAAACTTGTATCAGTTTCATTTGATGCTCCTACTTCTAGTGAGTATGATTGTGAACAATTACTCCTTTTTCAACTTTTCCCTTATATACCTTCTTGCTCAACTCTTTTCCAATTAACCACTTTCTGCATGAAGAAAACTATGAATGTTAAGCTGTTGGTATAAGCAATCTCAGTTCTGCAAAGGTAAATATGGTTCTCCTGATGTTTGGGGTAAACAAGGATGTCTCAGCTCTAGAAACATCAGGTTCTAAAAGGAAAAAAAGCTCAGCCCCAGATTCAAGTAAAGCTCAGAAGATTCTTTTGGAAGAAACTTATGACAGAACCACGAGAATAATGTGTTCAGAAGGGAAATAATTTGAAGAGGATCAACCAGCCACTTACTGCAACCAAAAAAATCCAACTATTTACACATCAGCAAATAACCAATTCAGATTCAAATAGTGAGCCCAGGATTATCAGCAAATATAGGACTGACTGAGGAAAAAAGTCCTTGGCAGTTTTATCAAATAAATCTTAAAAAATAAAACAGGAGCCAGACTACTTTTTTTTTTCCAGCAAATAATCCAAAATTACTAGAAGTGTTGTATTAATACAGGGTACAGGCCTTAGAGAATGCATGCTGAGAATCCAAGTCTGCTCTGTAAAGTCATCTGTATATCACTGAGCTCCTCAGGTAAAGAACAAGTCTAGCACTGCCAACCATTCAACTCCATGCACATGGAGAGTATCTGTTAAGAGGAAAAGGCACAGCATTGAGATTCCTACTAGTAAACAAAGGTCTTGATACCAAAAACTTCCTTCCACAATGTGGAACCAGTATCAGAGATAAATCTGTTGACTTTGCAGACATCATAAAAAGGAACATTTCCAACAAATCATGATTGTCCAAAAACATACCTAGTCTTGAGAACAGAAATTTCAGTACATCTTGTTGGCATCCAAGACTAAGCGGTTTGTCTAGGGTCACAACATAATCTCCCTCTGATGGCACTCACATGCCTTGTGAGGCTGTTTTAAAGGTCAAGATAAAACATATTAAAAGGAAACTTGATACTTGATGTATTGAGCACAAGTCAGCTCTTCTGGAAAGGAGAGAATCTAAAATCCCTTCCCTTAATTTTTATGTAGTGGTATGCTCATCACCTAAAACACAGCACAAAATGCTGTATCAACTTGTCATCAGCTCAGCCTCCAGAACTCTGATGTGCACATTACTGCTATCAAGACTAACAAGCTTGATTCTCTGTCACTAAAACAGGCTCAGTAATTTAGAAGTGATACAAACATCAAAGAAGAGGGAGATCCTTTGACTACAATATTCACTGTCACCACTGAGATAGATGCTGAATGATTGTTGGGGCTTTCTATTAGTAATTTTCATGCAGTGAAGAAGGACACTTCTGATGGAACCACTGATGAATATAGGGGGAAAAAAAACCCACACTTGAGGAACACATATAACTGTACTCCCCTTGTGCAACTATTATATATCCAAAATGGTTTGATATTCTACTTCCCTCCCTCATAGTAGAAAACTTCCTGTAAATTCCTGTAAAATGCCTTCTCTCCCAAGATGGGTGGGAAACAGTTCTATGCTTCCCCACTGACTCTCTTAACTGCAGCACTGAGAGGCTTATGGAAAGGGACAGACATGGAGGTAGCAGAGCTGCAAAGAGACAAAATATACATTACCCTTCAGTACACAGTACCCACCATGCACAAAGACAGATGGACTCCAGGCTGAAGAATACAGAGGAACAGAATATTAAGAGGCTAGAATAGCAGAATTTGTTCCTGATTCTCAATTGCACATGTTCCCAGTATATCAGCATTTGTCTTCAGAGATGGGATCAGGAGATGCTCAAGACAGAGGAATACTGCTATGTCGTCTGATGCTCTGGATGAGCACCTCCTGAGAATAAACAGGAATTCAAGGTCTACGTGTTTGGCTTCAGGCTTGATACTCCTGGGTTGATTTTTTTTATTTGTTGGAAGCAGAAGAAAAATTTTCTCAGGCAAAAAGATGCAAGTCTTCACTGCTCCTGACAAAATTCATCCCTTCAAAATGAGTGTCTTAGACTGCACTGTGCATTTTTCTGAATATTTTAAAAAATCTTACAGACAGGATATTTAATATACTGCTACAAAGTCATCACAGTTACAGATGTGGGGGTTGGCTACATCTAACATGCAATGCAAAGAAGTTCAGGAAAAATGTCTGTAACCAAGTTCAAATCATTATCCCAAAATGAGTGGGTGGGAGACTGTCAAAGCTGACAAAACAATTCCCCTGTGTTCATAATAAGCCAGCACTAATTGGTAATTTTCTTCACAAAGATGTAAGAATGTTGCTTCTGACAACGATTCTTACAAGACAACCACCTTTCCTGAGCTAACTAAATCTCTATCCCACAAACCTCTCTACAGTTTTCAGCAGTGGCTGTGATAATCTGAACAAACAAACTATAGAACAAATGCAGAGATGAGAGGTCCACAAGGATGTATATCCTACAGCTACTCAATCTTGTACATAAAACCCAGTGGAATAAGGATAACTCAGATCCTTTGGGAGGAAGAAAGGAATGGAATTATTTACTGAAGCTAAATCTTCCATGGAAATATCCCCTCCAGCTGAGCTGGAGATGATAGCCAATACCACGCAGAGCAGAGTAGGCTGTGAGAGGACAGACCTGAGGTCTTGAAGCCCACAGCTGCTGAGAATGTGCAAAAGTCTGAAGTAACAACATCTGCAACTAAACTTTCACTAGTCATGAGCCAACAAAAATGTGAAGAAAGTGAATGTGATCGTGACTGTCTAATGGAAATGAATGATAAGGGAACAGCTTTATCAAAGAGCTGCATTTCAGACAAGTGAAGTATTCAATGTGCCACATGTGTGAGTGTACCAGAAATAGAAAAATGAGTGTTCTCTCCCCTGAATTCATGCTTGAAGCAAGTGATGGTGAAACTAATATGAACATAATTATTTAACCTTCTCACAATTTATCTGGTCTTGAGTGACAAAAAATATGTGGAATCCAAGAGTGAACATGAACATAATCATTTCAAGAGAAAACACCTTCCCCCTCTGATACCGTTTCTTCTGTCAGTCCTCTGGGTTGATCACTATCTACTTGTCAACACATGTGAATGATCTCTTAACACTGACTATACAAACTAGAAAAGACAGGGGGAAGTGGAGGAAGAAAAGAGATCAAACAGGATGTTGAATCCAATCTCTGAAGACTCTGATACAGGCAGTCAAAGATTTTTTACCTTTGAGAACTATCAATCACACTCCTTGCTGTTGGACAAGGCAGAAGTTGTAAAATACTGCGTTTTCCTTTAACTTGGCACCAACAAAGAGTCAGAGCTGAAGCTGCTTCCTGTTCATTTTAAGGATGGATAGATCTTCTCTCTCCAATACAATTTCCAGCTGCTGACATTGTTTTCTAACACAAGCAAACTGATTTTCATAACACTAGGCAAATTTTAACTGGAGTGCTTCACCAAGACACTATTGCAACTGATAAGAGCCACCTGGGCCTTGGGGTTCAAGCCTGGGTCTGAAAACATCAGCCAATTTAAAAAGTTTACGAAGTCTAAACAAACAGAAATCGAAATACAAAATAAGCCACACAGAATACAAGTATCCCACAGTGAAACAAAGACATATTTAAAATCCTGTCCAGTATAACAACAGCAAATATTTTGGGCGTGTGAATTAATAACTGAAATTATAACCAAAACAAACAAATGAAAATACTTTATTTAAACTGTTAATTTCTATGGCTCTGTGCCAAAATTCAAGATGGCAACCAACACAGACCTCTCCAGTCGCATGTTGTAATATTTTTCTCTGCTGATGGTTGCCATGTGATGAAAGCATGGAATCTTGGCTATTACCAGACTAGAACAGATTGAAATGGCTGAGCAGGTGAGACTTTTATGTTCAAACCTGGACTTTAGGAAGGGCACCTGCAGGAAAGGTCTCGTGTCTTACACAAATATCTCACAGTTAGTGATCAAGAGGAAATGGAAGGAAGGGACAAAGACTCAGCAGCAGAAGTTCTCAGCAGCATTCACTCATTTCAGCTTGCAGGTACATCACCATAATCTGTTTTCACAGTTGTTTAGACACTCTTCAGTGGGCTGCTCTCTCACCAAAGCCTCCTCTTCTCTCTTTTTTGGCTGATACAGGAATGTGATGGTGTGAAGTCACTGCTGCTGCTTCTTCCCTCATCCCATACCTGAAGCAACTCCTGGGATTCCTCACCTGGAGTTCTGTGTTAATCCATCTCTGTGAGAAGAAGCTGGGGAAAAAAACCAAGGTTTTTTCACTCAAAGATTTCAGGTAATCATGGAGGACTGTTTTGTGGGAAAAAATTGCTGCATTGCTCTGCAAAACTCAGCCATCACCAGAAACCTGGCTGTCCCTATCACACAACCTCTCTGCCACAATAGATGAGATCAAAGACCAGTATAACAAAACCTAACGTAGTAAGTTGCTGTGTGAAAAAGTACTCTTAGTATTCCTTTCAAGCACCAGAATACCTTCTTCACTCTTGCTTTCAACTCATGTGACTCATCTCTTCACAAGCACCCTCCTCTAAATCTTTCTTCCATATCAGTATGCTTTATCTCTTTCTTTGGGTCTTTTACTCATTTGCTTGCACGGGAGTCTACTTCCCCACTCCAACACATGCTGAGGACCTTGGTGCAGAAGAGCTAGGGGTGTGAAAAGGTTGATCTTTAAAAAGGAACAAAATCAGAATATGGAATTTCGACCTCCCCCCACCCCATTATTATAAAGATACAGTTTTGACTTCTACATACTGCAGCATTTTACTATTTAGGCACATTATGGGAAAATGTCGATGTCATCTTCGCTTCTTTTACTTAAACATCCTCAGACAGCCCTTTAAAAAGAAAAATCGAAAACACTTAGAAATGTACCAAGTTTATTTTGGACTGCTTGCATTTTACAGCTAATCTAGTAGGTAAAGCTTGTCCTGTGTATTTGGCACATCAGCTTGCTCCTAAACATGAGTGACATTTGTTGAGAGCTGTTTATTAAAAATATTGCTATATTTAAAGAAAATACACTCTCCTTGAAAGTCCAGCATAGAGCCAAACATCACAGAGCAGAGGATCTGGAAAGATGTTTAGAAAGTGGAAATGCCAGCTATATTACTGCACAGAAAGTTTGAAAACTGAATTAGGAATCAAACTGTCAACCATGTGTATTAAGACAGGATACCAGTCCAGAAACTTATCCCTTGGCAATATGCTGAATTTAAGGAAACAAAGGCACATAAGAGTAGGCAGCCAACTTCAACCTCATTTTCCTGTTTTGAAGATGTTTGAGCCTTCCTATTCTGGAAGAAATGCATAGCACAGTTTGTCTTTTCTCACAAACAGAATTAAAATCACTTTCCTTGTGTTCTTGCATGATTACCTTGAGGACTCAACACAGAGAGGGGCATTCTTATGTCTGCAAGTAAATGTGTAAGTTCCTAACAAGGGTGTGGCTCGTTGACAAATCAGTAATTTCATAAATTTTAATATATATGATTCTCTGAAGTTTTATAATTTCAAAGCTACTGGTGAGCATTCCACCTCCTTGTAGTTGAGTAGATGGAGGTTCCAGTTTAGTAGGGGGAACAGAAAAAGAGTTCATTGCTGACAGCAGCCAGCATTAAGGGTTGATTATCTCCACTGATGGAGTCATTGCAGTGAGTCACCACATACAACAGCATGAGCCTCCTTTATTCTCTGCCTGCCAGGAGGTGTCAAAGTATCTGCCTGTGTGTCTGTCCCCATGTTTACACACTATTATGTCATCCATGACTGCACCTCAAAAACTCAGAACAGTCACAGTGGGAAGCAAAGGATTAACTCCCTTTTATGGATATGATTTTGAGTCACAAGAAAATCAAAGGAGTTGCATGAAGTCATTTAAGAGATATCTGCACACTAAATTCAGTGCCATACAGTTCCATACAGACTTTCCCAGCATAGATGTACATTGCCTTGATCACAAACCAGCACCTAATCTACTGTGCTTCCAAGCTGCAGGAATAAGACAGAGAAGAGTACAAGGCTAGATGATAGTACTGGGTCAGGAATCCATTTTTTACAGCTTTTTACTTACATTTTTTACAACCCATTTGTGGGATAACTGAGCAGCATACTGAAGCCTCCTGAATCTACTGTTGAAAATAGGAACTTATTTTCTCCCTAAAAAGCTAAGATGATCCTAGAAATTCAGATTTTTTTTATCCCTGAATGAATTTCTGATCTCAGAAGGATGCCCAGCATTCTCTTGATAATATACAGTATAACTAAGAAAGGCAATAAATAAATGAGGTTTATTTATATCTATGGGTGACTGGCACTAGCAAGCCAGGACAGCTGACAACAGAAAGCCAGCCTTCCCTCCCCCATATTTTGGGCACAATTTCAACCTGACTTGCTGGACCAGGAAGGTAAGGGAAAGCAGCAATTCCAAGTCATGAAAATTTGCTTTGGGGGTGGGGAAGTGTGGATGTCTGAGTGTGTGTGGGGAGTGTGATGTGTATGTCATGAACAGTACATACAACTGTATTCCAGATAAGTCTTCCTGCATAAAAATGCAGTGAGCAGACTCACTGACAAGTAGAGAAATACCAGTAGCATAAGCCTTCCTGCTTTCCATGTTAAAGACACCACACACTCATCCCAACTGCTAATGCCCTTCTGTACTTGACAGCCTTCTTTCTGATTTCTCTTACTCACCTCTCTACTCCCTGGTTCACTGTGGCTCTTTCTTCTCTGGCTTTTCCCCACATTTCATTTCATAACTTCAGACACAACATTTCAGCCTATTCACACACATTTTGGCTTCTATTTTTAGCCTCAATAAAACAATGCCAGATTAAAACAAAATCCAGTTTGGATGGGCAAAGTCATCCCCTCTATAGGTAGCTTAATGCCAAAGTACCAGATGTGAGACAGAAGCAGCCAAAATATTATATAACCTCTCCCCAGTCTTTGCACACCTGATCTTGAATGACATTTCCAAAACAGCAAGGAAACACAGGCAGTTAGCCATCACTTCACTGCTGAGAACAAGCAATGCCCAGCCTCCAGTCAGGCAAAAATGCCAACTGCCTGCAATCATTACTTATCCTGCTTCAGAGTTTGTCAGAAGCAAAGGCTCCTAAAATTCAAGCTGAATCCTAGCTCTTTGACAGGGAAGCTGATTTCTAAAGACTGCTCTTTCCATTTTCTCCTGCTTTCTTGGAAGAGTCCTGAGATGTGGAATGTCCTTTCAGTGGCATAAGACCAGCAGCAACAGGAAAAAGCTCCTTCCTTTCATAAAGGAAAGGCAGAAAGTTGAGTAAAAATGTGAGAGGCAGGCTGCTCTCACAAGTTAAGGAATAAACATAATTTCTGATGATTATAAGTGAACACTGACCCTCAGTTCTATCCGAGAGGTGATGGCTGAGTTGGATATCTTCTTAACATCACCTAAGAAGAGCCTGGAATGCTGCTTCTGGCAGCACTTTACACTCTGCTGAGACTTAATGAGACTTACATTCACTTTTCTCAGAACTGGGTAAACTCAAACATAGTCATGTCCTGTTCATAACTTGTATCTATTTTAAAGCTACTGATTCGAAACATCAATATTTGCTCATTGTTAGTCATAAGATAATGGTTCCCTGCCCCTCCAAAAAGTACTAAGAAATGGGGCAAAAAGAAAGCCTCTTCACCCTTCTCCTTTCCCTTCTGGCCCATCTGGTACTACAGGTTTGTGTGTCATTATCTGACCTGGAACTGATTCATCAACTAAAGCAGGGAGTGAAAGTATTTTTCCCCCCTTCCTGTATGCCCTCTTTATAAAACTGTGGAATTCAGTAGGGGTAAAAGAGAAATTATTCAGGATGCTTTTGTGATGCATAAAAAGACAATGGCTTTAGGAAGATAACTGTAAGAACAAATGTGCAACTAAATGTCCTCCATTGTAATTGATTCTTTGCCCTCCCAAAAAGGGAGGCACAATAGTAGGATTCAACTCAAGCTTCACTACTTTCCAAAGTATGATAAAAGGGACGAATTCTGTTTCTCAATGATCCTTTCTCAGCATGGAAACACAAGAGAGATACTGACAGAACTGCTATTAACAAAGGCTATACACAGGGCAAGAAACTGCACCAGAAAAGTTTGACGCAAAGTGCTGGATATCACACAGCTCCCTCTTCAATGATGCAGCCAGAGCTTCTCAGCCAGACAGGTGGTTCTGAAAGGATTTATGTGGAAGAACTCATCATGACTCCATTCCTGGACTAGCATAAGTAATGAGGTGACATCAAAAGTTGCTCTTTTGTGTCATAAGATACCTTCTACCTGAGTAGTCAAAGTAGACTGAGGTAGAGGTTACTCGAGGTGCCCATTTGAAGGTCATCTTTTAAAGTGAAGACCATTTGTGCAGTCAGTCACAGCAACAACATAGAGAACCAGGAGGGTGGCAAATGAAGACTGGAATTAACAGGATTAGTGGGAGGGAGGAGGCATACCAGCAATGTGCTGTGTAGAAACCTGAGTGATTTCTTTTCCCAGCTGCTCCTGATGAGGGATTTGGACAGTGTGGTGAGACCAGCTGAAATCATAGTCAAGGTTCCTCCTGGGAATGTGGTAACAACATAAAAATAAATACATTGGTGCTGAACAATCTATTGCTTTCCAAGGCTGCAGGGAACCTGGCAGAAGCTGAGGAAGCCTGGACAAGACTGGGCAGCTGGGAATTCCACTCCACTATAACAAATGGCTGGAAGTCTCACACAGACCATGCACAGTGGTAACAGTACATATTACATCCCATCCCCACCCTTTATGCTCCAAGAGAGTTGAGAGATACTCATGGATAAAATAATCTCCACATTCCACACCTTTTTTTTTTGTTTGTTTAGGTCTGCCAAAAAACACGAAATGATTGTATGTGTCTTGTTTATATGCCTGCTGTGTTTACTTGCCTTTTTTTTTCCTGGACCAGGATAATTTAGAAGCTTGTACCTTTGCATACCTGCTAAAGGAATCTAAAGAGGCTGCATTTCAAGAATAACATTCAAGCAGTAGGTAGACCATGGCCAATCAAGACTTAGCACTTCCAATGCTAACTCTAATTTCAGGTCTCCAATAACAAGACATATAATAACATGACCTTGTTTTGAAGGTCCATACAATAATCTTGGATATAAAAAACTTTAGAAATGCACAGCCTACTTGTAGATTTTCTGTAAAATTAAAAAAATCTAGAGTGTGCTAGATGGTGAGAAAAGTACAGAAGTACTGTCACTAGTTTACAAGCAGGCTCCATTCATTGCTCCATACTGGACCACACTGCTTACACATTCATCATATTTGGATGGCATCCAGACACTACTCTCCACCTTAGCCTAAAGAAGGATATCACTAGAAAATGAAGAATAGCAGCCTGCCTTCTACATGGATTAGATCCAAACAATTTTATTAATCCCCATATTCTTCTAGTCTATTTGCAGCTCAGGATGCAGTTTTAAGCCCTTGAAGATGGTAACACACTATTTCAAAGAGTTGCATACTTTCTGGATGTGGCATTCATGCAGATATGGGGGCAGGTGAATGTCCAAAATAAACAGACAACTGTTCATCACCCTGCAACTAAGCACAGCTACAGAACTGAGAATCATGGGAAATAAAACCAAGTCTTTACCAACTAGCTCAAAATGTTTCATCCTAGTTTCAGACTGAGTTTTGACACTCACTCTCCGTATCAAGTTTAGTTCTCCAGAGAACTAAAACACAAATAAATTAGTTTTGAACTCATGTTTTCAATCCAACTAGGTAGAGATCCAAGATTTTGCATGAATTAGTGGTCTTCACTGTCAAACTTGAAATGCATATTATTAATTTTTACTTCCCCTAATTCTAATGGGTTTTTTACTCCTCTCAGCAGACACTGTGGAAATGTTATGTGGACACTAGTAATGTAAACATTAGCACAATAAAAGTGCATTACTGTTAATCAGTCTGATTATGGAAAGATGAAGGTCCTGTCAAGTTTGGAGCCAGGCCTCAGTCTTGCCCAGTTTTAATCATGATTCATGTTTGTTTGTGATTATATAGTTTATTAGTACATTATGGTTTTGTCACAGCAAAATAGAACCCCAGAACACCCCAGAGGTTTTCTGTCTTCTGAAGCTTTTAAAATAAAAATGTCACAAACTGTCAAGAATCTGGCAGCAAATGAAGGAGAAAAGCCTAAAGAACATAGGTGTCATTTATACAGCAACTCAACAGTTACTGTTAACCTTTGTAAATCAAACCAAATAAAATCATCTTGAGTGCCTACTCTACAGCTGCACTGAAGGTTTAACTATACTTTCAGATTGTTCCTATCTCCGGGCTCTTGCGCACAGGAGTCCAGTTCAGGAACAGAGAAGCTGCTTGGGACTATGATGTTATGTTTTCATAAAGGGCTCTTCACCTCCTAGTCTCCCTAAAACCTCCACTGTGTTAGCATTTGCAAAAGAAAAATAATAAATAGAATTAATTTCTAACTTTGAGATTTTGACACACAACTACAAAAATTCCTTGATACTTCTTGCTGGCTTGTTCAAAAGCTAAATTCTGGTGGAAAAATGACACCTTTTTTTCTAGATCTTCACTTTCTCAAGAAAACAAATTCACACACTATTCACCTAATGCCACTAGAGAGAAAAGGAAAATAAACCAGCAAAACATGGCAAAATGTCTCCATACACCTTACATTCTTAAAATATACAGGAAAACAAAAAAGACCAGCCTGACCATCATTTGAACTCAAGCACAGCCTCCATATATCAAGCACAGCCTCCTAAAGACAACCTGGACCTGAACAACCTACCACAGTACTTAGCTGTTACTCAGCAAGCTATACTCTGAAGACTTTGAAAAGAGAACTGGTTCAATTTCAATTCAAAACCACCCTTGCTTCAATAATACAAATTGAATTGCTAAATTCCATGAAACAGGAAACAATCAATGTAATGCTGAGGGACCCTCAAAGTACACTGAATAAAAGCAATGTGATAATGGCTGTATTTTCAGAAAGCCACTAGTGGCTGGGTGCTCAGTGAAAACTCAGGTCACAAGCAATTTAAATGTTCCCTAGAGGTAGTAATTTTTAATATTTCTTTGTTAGAATAAATCCTGCTAAACTTCCACAAATTTTGCTAAGAACCTGTCTCTTCAGACACTACAAATAACCCCCATTTGCTGTCTTGCAAATTTAGCTTCCTGTCTGTATAGAGTTATGGGGGTCTCTGCCTTATCTTTTATTACACCAGTGACAGACAGCTCCCACAAATTCTGCCTATGAAATGAGGATGAGGCTACTTTCATTGTAGTGGAGGCTTGTTTCAGAATCCTGATCTACCCTGCAGAAATGTTGACTTTTATTTTCGCTTTTATTTCAAAGGATCTGTTCTTGAGAGCCTGAGCTCACAGCACAAGTGTCTACAACTGCTATTTTACAATTGCAGCGCTAACCACTAATGAACTGTCTTCTGAACAGTCTAGTTAAAAGTTTCCATACTGCCTGACTCTCTCTTCCACTGAGCATCATCCTGGCTTGAGGTAAGATCACTTGTGACATCTTTATGCTTCTTCACAGAGGCCCATAACTATTCTCAGACATGCTGTTAGAGGAGAAGGCCTATTCAAGCTTCTCAGATATTTTTGAATATCTGTATGTTTATACAGAGGTTCTGTCAGGTTCCTCTTTTATTTCTGAAGTTTTTCACAGTCTTCTGTCTTTAAATGCTTGCAGTTTAGTCTGTGATTTTCTTTATGACTTGTGTATCCAACCTCTCTAGTTGGTATCTAAGATACTAAATACATGTGAAACAGTAACCCCAAGTAAACTGCTGCTGAGGAGAAATTGGGGCCCTAGTATAAGCAATCAATGGAGAGAGTGAAGAAGAAAAACAGCTGTTCCTGCAGCAAGGAGTACTACTGCAGAGTAGTTTCTGAGACACATAAACTGGGCACAACAGCCTCTGACACATACCAGTGGCTTGGTGCAAAGCTGAAGAAAATATCTTTCCCCAGTTTCCAAGAACAAACGTTTTGCTCTAGTTAGCTTAATCATGGCAATATTTAGTGCTCTTCTTGGAGCTCTTTTAGTAGCAAGGAAGCTTTGAGTGACCTACCCACCATGGTTCTACTAGCCTACCCCTAGCGAAACCTGGGCTTAACCTAAGCCCTAATACTCCTTGTTAAATAGCAAGGCTAACCCTTTGTTTCAGCTTCAGAGAGGGTAGTTTAACACAATGCAGCTAGACCAGTTCTACAGAAGGAAACATGAGCTGAAGTTCTCAATACTCACTGGATTACAAGTACTCACAGAGAAGTGGCTACCCTGAATTTTATAGTTGTTATCTAGCCTCTATTATTCCTCCAGCTCTGGCTGTTGCATACCATCATTAATATTATCATCCATCTTCATGCATGCACTGCACAGGTATTCATAGAAATGGAAAAGGATAACAAAATGCTACCTACAGTTATCACAGACGCACATAAAGTATTCAGAGGGGATGGAGAGATTCTCTTGGAACAGTTAAAATTACAGGGTGGCAACTGTAACAGTACTCTTGAAAATGTGAAAAAGAAGGCAGAATTCAGCACACAAACACCTTCATGTAAGTCCACTCAACAAAACAGTTTGTCAATACATTGAGAACTTGATTTTTACATTTACTTTTAAATTTATCTGTCACCTTGCTTTATACACTTACTAAAAACTTAAATTACACTATGCAGTAGACCAAAACTTTTGATTCAGCTATGCATATAACACAGGGTTAACAGAATTTTATTTATTTTGATAATCATTATATGCCAGAGTACACTATCACATTCCAATGTACTATAGTGTGTTTTATATTGTCTATGGCCATTCATCCTATAAAATTTCTGGTAGGATAACTGGAATTTTTGGCAGGTGGTAAAGTGTGGGAGGCAGTTTGGAACTGTATGTTAAGTGCATTAGCTGAATGTTTGTGCTAGCAAATCAGCAAAAAAATCACTGACATAAAAAATTGAAATGTCATATTTTAAGTTTCAGAAATAAATATCCAAGAGATGAACTGGGTAGTTCACCTCTCCACAAACTTTTCTTTTCTGAAAACACAGAGGTCACTGCACTAGTGATACTTAAGTCATGTTTTCACAGTTCCATTGCAAAACAGAAGGTCAGAAACATAATTTTTCAAAGCATTCTGGAACATAATGTGTCCGTATATTCCATTATAGCACTACCACAAATTACTGTGAGCCACAGGTAATATGGGTTTACAAGACTATGCTCTACCTGCCAATAGGCCTGCATAAATGAAAAACTGATTGGGTCCTCATTTGCTGAGAACTTAACAGCAGATAAACCTGTCTGAATTAATTAGCCACTAGGGAACGACAAATATTTGATTCTGTAACTCTCCGATTTTCCATCGGATACTTTCACCTCTACTGATTGACTTCACTATGCAGCTGATTCACAAGTCTCAGTTATGTCTTTCTGCACTAAGAGCTTTTCTGCAAGACCAAAGAAAAATGTAAAGAATGTCCTGGCCTTTATTACAAGCCAAGCTTGAACAAGAGAGCATCTTGAGCCGAAGTCTAAAGCAAAAAGGAACCATTTGAGCCAAGGTGGTTTCTTTTCTCCCCAGCCATATTTTAAAGGGTCTTCCAACTCTATGAAACTCAGCCTTTGCTCCCTTCTGTTTAGTCTTTTTAATCCCAGGGGGTATAAATTCCCTGCACAGCTGAACCCAGACTGTTACCTAGGAACCGCTACATGTAGAAGAGGCAGCTGTGTTTCTTATTGCTGATAGTTTTTTCCCTGCCAGTTCTTGAAAAAGATGAAAGCATCCCAGCATGCCCACCCCCACTTTCACAGTCTTTGGCACTGTCACTCACCTGTGGAATATGTTCCCGGCTCACAGGATGCAGCACTGTGAAGGCTGTTCTGGAATCCATTCACTTGCTTTTCAGTGGAGGTGACCCTAAGAGGTAAAACCATAAAATCAGACAGAGATAAGAAGTAATAGAGCAAGGAAGAATAAAAGTCTTAAACAAAAAAATGAGAATTCCCCTAGTTTACATAATCTTACTGGCTCTGTAACCATGAAGCTGTGCCTGAACGTGGTATGAAAAAGGCAGTGACAGCAACTGACTCCAAAAAAGCAGAGCAGGACAAATGAACAGTCAAGCCACCAGGAAAACTTCAGTGTGACTAAAACACTTAATTTTCTCATGTACCTTGGAAGCTGATTCTGGAGAATAAAGAAGATAGTAAATTGTATTGGACCACCAACATACATCACAACTAGTAATGATGTGGTCACCTTAGTCCAATGATTTGAATTAAAGTGATTAGGCAACTGTTGCACAGAAATGCACATGCTGTCAAAACATGCTAAATTCAAGAGTTAATCTTTGCATCTTGCTGCAGCAGAGAGAGCTCATTTTGCCAAGATTTCTCACTTATCTTGCAAACTGAGACACACAGGATGCATCTAATTTTCAGTAATCCAGTGCCATTCCTCAAGCAGATACCTTATGCAAATCCCTCTGCATTGATCTCAGCACTTGACTTACAGCAAAACTATATTCTGGAGACAACTGCATTTTAACGCACAAAGATTCATTACCAAACTGAGACCATGTTCTCCTGCAGAAAAATTTGGTCTACTCACAAGAGAAGGGCAAGCTATACAGCTGTAAGTGTCTATCCTGTCCTTAAAAATCTATACAATTATCCATCTATTCCTGGTTTGTCCCCTCCTCCCTTACTCTTTCTTGCTTTTCTTCCTTCTGGCCCAACTCATTTCCAATAACTACAGACTTGGGTATGTGCACTCATGTCTGCCAGAGTTGTTCTTCACTCTTTCACCTCTGCGGTGTTACAGTTGCTCTCAGCTCTTCTCCTGAAGAGCATCATAATCTCCAATCCCCATGGGATGCCCTGAAAACTAATGGACTGTTATTCACTGTTTAAATCGTTGTTTAAACACGTGCAGTTTCTATGGTTTTATCTGAAACCTTTTGCTTACATGTTTCAAGATCAGCAGGTTGCCTGTAACCCAGGTGTTTCTGACAGCTAAAAGGTCTGTGAGGGACCCCTGAATTTTATTTCAGCTGGATTTCAGTGAAATGGAGTCCACACATGAAGGGAGAGGGATGCAAATACATTTGCATACCACAACCCCTTACTTCAGTCAGCCTTAACTGGAAATGCTATTGTCAAATGAGGTGCCTGTTTCTGTGTTTGTTGTCTCTTGGAGAGAATTATAGATTTGTACTTAAGGGTTTTTTTGTGCTGATATTGCATGGTCCTTCTGGGAGCTGAGAATCCAGATGGATCTTGATGCTTTTTACATAGAAGTTCCATGCTCATAATTAGCTTGTCCACTTTAACACAGCACAACTGATAGCCAAATTCAGCTCACCCTTCTGTAAGCAGAATGCAAGACTAGTAATTGAAAAAGTAATCAAGAATGCCAGCAAGTACAACAATAAGAAAGCTAAACAGGGAACTGTCACTCTTCTACCATATTGTTCAGAGAATAGCTCTACAGACTTGCCCTTCTCTTGTCTACCCACAGTGCTAGGTACCTTGATTCTTGCAGTTTCAACAGTCACCTCATTCTGAGAGCTCATTCTAAGGTCTGCTCCTGGGATGTCCCACCATTCTAAGCTTACTTCCTCATACTCTTTGTGCTGTCCTGGTGGAAGCTTCAATGCCAGAACATATTCACTGTTTAAACTGATGTCATCCCTTTCCACTTTCTTCCTCCTTGGGTTGGCTGAAATCCTACTGCCTTTTCTCAGTTTCCTACTTTTAATGTCTGTGTTGTTTTTGCTTCCCCTTCTCCAGTGCAATCCATTGTTATGTTCTCTATTTATTCTTCAATACTAACAAAAAGAGTCCCATCTGTCCCCTCCATTTAGATATCTGTCATTGCTCTTTTCCATCCCCTATACAGCTAACTCCTCCTCAAAGCTGATACTGGCTTTCTTAATTTAGGTACTAGACTAGCACTAAGCTGCCCAGCCTTGGACTGCAAATTCTGCTCCACAGGTGAAAGAGAAATACTTTTTTGACTGAATTTTGAACACCTTTGTTTTAACAACCTATTTCTGGGATGCTACAGATCCATCTAAAGGTCCAGTGGAACCAGACAGATATGACACTAACATATTCACATCACAAAAAGCCCAGGCTTGACAAGAGGACAGCAACAGATGTAAAGATGCAGAGCAGTTTACTCCTCTGTTGTTCTTGGATGGGGTACCCCTGCATGCGTAACGTGTGTATGATCTGAGGCTAGCCAAGGGCTACGAGCTACAGGTCTAGTGAGCCCAGCTGTGTCAGGGTGTTAAATCAAGACATGTCTCTCAGATGCACTGCTTTTACTGCCGAAAGTGTCTAAGGGTCAGGCAGCCTGATTAACCCAGACATTCAGGAGCTGAAAAAACAAGCATGCTGCAGTACAGCAGTAGCAAAACAGTCAAAGGGGTTCCAGTAACTGTTAGATGTGTGTCCTACTGCCTGTCCTCTTTTCAGTGGGCACTCAGTTTATGTGTGTGATGTACCTGGCTCACTAAAGACACCTCATGTATGGGCAAGACAGGATACGAAACAGAGCCACAGTGTTTTACAGGGCTCATTCTGTTATTATCATCTGCTTTTGGCACATTTGCTAGGCTTGGCCAGCATATCCTAGAAAAGCTGGCTACTTCTGTGTCCAATTGCAGTCAGGACTCATCCCCACTCTGGGATAGCTTTCCTGAACCTTGAACCCTCTACCCTATTTCTGTACTAGTCACAATAGAGAATTAACTTTGATTCTTCTACTGTTAGCACCATGTAAAACAAAAGAGAACATGGTAGAAAGAAAGAAAGTGCTGTGGTGGTGGGACTTGAAAGGAATATTTAATTCAAAAGGCTTCCTGAACAGAGTTGTTATGACATTTACAGAGATGTTAAGCACAAGAAATTATGCCATGCTGATCAATATCCCCAACAGTTTGTAATGTTCCAGTCTACTGCTGGTAAACTTGGCGATCTTCTTGGTCTCTCCCTGATAATATCTTGAACAGTATATTCCTTTTCCCTACCTAGCATTTCTTCTCCTTATATACAGTGGTCTAATATTGACGGATCAATTTTTCTGAGATGTTTTCTTTGACTGATGGATCTGTTCACAGGTTGTTTAAAGCCTTATTCTTCTTGACACTGTCAATGAGAGGTTTTGAAAAGTTACTATGTGAATGATAGCACAGAAATGTGTATTTATTACGACTTAGTCATTCCTAAAAGCTGAAAGATTTTTCATCTACCACCAGTACACTCTGGTGAACAGTTGAGCTAATGTATTTTTTTACTTTGCATGCTGTCATCTGTAATGTGAAGATTCCATACAACAAATACTGCTTCCAGGGAACATCTGCCTCATTCCACCGCTTATAAATACTGTATCTGTGATTTCTATCTCAAAATATCAGCAGGTCTCTTCATGGTTCACAGACCTGTCAATAGTAGTGGCAACATGAGCAGTGGGAAAGACCCAGTCTGACTCTGGGGAAGAAAAAAGAGCTTGTTGTGTTAGCTGTTCAAAAACTATCTATTAGTGATATGAGCACATTTAATCAAAACTATGGAGCCCCATGAGACCATTTTATGGCACCATATTTCAGCACAGAGCTGCATACTAAACCATTTCTCTCAGTTAGTCTTTTTCCCCACTTTAATATGGGTCCCAGTTTTCCACTCTGTTAGTTTAAGCAAGGAGCCTGCTTTGGACACAATCCATTACAAAGTCAACCTACCACCTTTCACAAAAACAAGAGAAGCCAGGAACTGAAAAGACAAGCCTGAATTGTCTGACTGTTCCATTACTTTTTCCCTTTATACTTCAACCAGGAAAGCATCCAAGTTACTAGACAGTTTTTCAATTAGTCAGTAATGTTCATCTTTAGCATCTTGTTCTGTTTGTAGTTGAGTTTTCTACTTCTTGTTTCTTCCTTTTCTGGAAGCCATGTGTGCTGGCTGGGAGAGAATTGATAACGGATGCAAGGAAGAGATAAGTCAAAGAGACAAAGCTGATTTTAGTTTTGTCATCATAGTCCTGTCTCTGGAGAAATTCTAGAAACAACTTTAAAGAGATGATCTTTATCAAGATGTGAAACAAAAGCCAGGCAGTGCAAGAGCAAACAGAAATAATGTCTGGCTTACTGAAATATACGGGGGGAGAAAGATACATGAGAGCTTTAACAACAGAATGGGATTAGTTTCAATGAGTCTTGTAGAAATAATACATAGCCTTGAGATCCTCTTTGAGGAAAGAGATCAGAAAAACAGCCGAGAAATATTAGCGAAAGAGAGAAGACAGCAAACCAAAAGTGACCTGACAGGCAAATGAAGCAGCCAAAAAGATGTTATGGAGAGGGATATTTACCATGTCATAACCTATCGGCATGGTAGTATCACTGGAAAGGCACAATTTTGGGTGCCACACTCCAAGCACTCTGCCAAACTGAAGAAAATACAGTAAATTCAAGACAATTAAGGACTTGGCAGGTAGAACTACTATCTGAGGTTAACAAAACCTCAACAAGTCTAAGCAAAATTAGATTACTCCAAGAAGTAAAAGGATATTCAAAAGATGGAAAGTATTTACATGAGAAAGTGTTTAGGGTTCAGGAAGGAGAAACAAGGTACAACAGGCTGAAACAAAGGAAAAATTCAGATAGCACATCAGGAGAAACTAGCTGATTAAAAGGTTGTCTAGATTCTTAAATAGATTCCTAGAGCACACAGTAGAGTTTCTACCACTGGACTTTTTTGAAAGCAGACTACAAAATGTATCCGAGAATACTCTGTACAAATTATCCGGGACTGCACAAAACAGGCTGGAGCATGCAAGACATCTTTTCCCTCTATATTCCTTTGACACATTCACTCCTCTCTGTAGATGTCTATCTGGTCTTTTCCTGACAACAATGAATGGATTAAATTAGCCTGAGACACAGCAGTTTTTAAACTATCAGCTCTCAGAGTGCTGGAAATATAGCTAGGCACTGTTGTTTTCCATGTAAGTGAAAAAATGTTACTGCAAGATCCCATGAATGGCAAGAATGGGTTTGGAGCCTTGTGCTGGAGACTGAAAGGCAACTTGGAAAATATTTCCGGAGTGGTTTCTTGCAGCCTTCAATACTTGGATTAGTTTTCTGAAATTCTGAAGGAATCTTTTGCTTTTTTTCCCCCTTCTGTGCATTTTTGGTGCTGAACTTTTTCCGGTTTTCCCACACTCCTGCCTGTCACAGAGCAGAAACCACAAAAATGCAGCGAAGTAAAGTCTGTCCAAGGAGCTGCAATTCCATCTCACAAGGATAAACATTTCCTTTGCCAAGAAGTGAGCACAGCACACCGGCATCTTCAAATACACATCCCTGCTGCCCAGCAGAGAAACCCACTGACACAGTCTGTCACCTGTACTAACAAGAGTCACCCAACATGAAAGAAGTCAGATAGCAAAGCTACCAGAGCATACCTGCCAGACCTGATGCTCACATCTGCATTTGCTGAGCTGACAAAATTTACTAACATCTTGTTTTCTTTTTAAATAGTTTCAGGGGATTAATTCTGAGTGCTATCTCTTAAGATAGCAAGGGTACAGGCAGCAAACACACAAACTTCCCCAAAGCAGCTCTGTCCAAGTTCCCTAAATACGCCTTGCAATTCCAGATTTGATTCACACACAGTGACTGCATCTTCATAAGGTGTCTTTCATCAGTAATCTAAAACTAAAACTTCTCTCTTTAAACAGGAAGTGAAAACAGAACCAGGAAACCTCACAGGAGCTTGCTCTGAAAGCTTTACAGCTCTTCTGACTGTAGAATAAGTACAAGGAAGGAAGTTATGAAATCAATTTTTCAGGATGAAACAAGTCTGAGGATATATGAGGAAAAACCTGATGAAGGATTTAGACTAAAACATTTCTGCCATTTAAGAGGAGATAAACAGAGAGTTGAGGAAGCTGAAAAAAACCCAGAAGCCTTGCTCACATTTTCTCATAATGCACAAAAGGGAAGACATACCAAGAAATGGTAAAGAAGGAAACTTACAATCAGTAAGCAAAATTTAATGATGAATATTTTTGTTTGTTTTTAAAGATAGCATTTGTTTTTAAAGATAACTGTCAAATCCATCCACTTACCTTAAAATAGCAAGCATCATTTAACTAAAAGCTTACTAAAAGTTAAAAGAAGGATTTCTACAGTTAATGAGAAAACTATCATTACATCAGGCATAATATAAACATTTCAAATGAAATAAACACTTGTGCTTGAGGTCCTAAATACAACGTGGTGTGTTAAATTTATGGGAAAACTTGGCTCAGGGGCAGATTATCTTGTTAAAGGTATTGAATTGCTTTGTTGCTTTGCTTTGGCTTTTTTTTGGCACCCTTTTCTTACCTACCAGATTCAAGCCCCCATCAAAGATTACACAGAGGGAGTGACTTAAGTGCCTCAACATAGATGTAATTGGTGCTCTTAAGTTGAGACATCTGCATAGGACTGACAGATGCAACACAAGATCTACAGAAGACCTGTACTCATCTGGAAGAGCAGTTGGAAGTCAGGTGGAATAGCCCTGGGCATCCAAATGCCACTAGCAACTCGTATTTACCTTACTGAATCCCACTCTGGGATCAGTCTGACAGTTCCTATGTCCTTACCTTTGTATGATGTTACAGTTACCTTCCACACCCTTGTGTAACACAACTGCAACACAGTGCAATGCTTATTTCAGTATGCACAACTCAGGTTATTCTGAGATTTATCCTGGACAGCACAGCCAGAAGGATCTGTCAGAGTCAGATGTAGACAGTTTCCTCTCCAATATTCATTTTCAGAGGAGGCAATGCCAACTCCCTATTGTGGATGGAAGAGAGAAAACTTACTTGGAAATCCTCTGGGCTGCAGCCTTTCTGATCACTGCCTGTCTGTGGTTTGTTGGAGGCTTTGGAACCAGCTGAGGAGCTGTACTCTGGGATGGCATCACTTTGTGCAAACTGGATGCCTTCTGGATACTAGAAGTGGCACTTGACGTCTTGTGGGCATCAGAGACAGCTGGCATAGATATATGACTGGTGCTCGACTGTGAGTAGTTGGCAAAAGCAGCCTGGGTAAAAGAAGAAGAAAATCCCATCGTAATTGGTGATTACCTCTGTGAACATTGCTGAGAATGCTGATGGAGGTGGGTGACATTTTTGTGAGGGATAATATTTGCCTGGTGAAGGCATCCCAGGGCTCCAGGGAAAGTCCCACACATAAAAAGTTAAGTTGTTAAGTCAGTGAATTTTATGCCCTTGGAAGCCAGGACTAGCTTCTAGGAAGGTAGACCACCTCACTACTGCCACAGAACTCTACTATTCTGGAGTTTAAAAACAAGCCAATCCTCAATCTGCAGTGGGCTTCCATCCAGAAAGAAGTAAAGAATTCATTACATTGACTTTCTGCATTATTTTGCTAAATTATTCTTTATGTGGGAGGTAGGGTTGAGACACAGTTCTAGGAAAGAGAAAGGTTATGGGGAAGATGATACAATGCTACTTATTTGGTTATTGAACTTGGAATAGCAGAAAAGCTCTAGGGCACCTTCTTCTGAAAAAGGAACTTAGGTCCACCACTGACAAAAAGGAAATCACCAGTAATATCAGGGAACAGAAAAAAATTTCCATTCCTATAGCATGTGGAAGAGTAAGCATGTTGGAAATATGACACAGGGAACAAAAGGATCTGCATGTTATGAGACACTGGAGAACTGAGCAATGGCCTGGCAAAGCAGGGACTGGGGAATATTCCTCTATGGGAGCTCTGCAGACTGCTAAACTCTTCAGAAAGGAACAACCTGCTGGAAGTTCTGTTTTGTCTTTCCTCAAAGTCAGTCAGATTCCCAGCACAGAGGCAATACTTTAACCTTATAATTTGGCATCTAGAGGTCAGTGATAGGAGATAAGGGGAAGAGCTGAGCCCTCACTGTGACCCTGGGAGCAGCATCCTTCACTGAGTTTGTCCTCAGTTTCTCCTCCTGTGGAAAATACACAAAGCCACAGCAAATGGGCTCCAGGCTCCAGAAAAAACCACAGTCTGAGAGCTGGCTGAGTCTCAGCACACAGACAGGAAAAGCCCCTCTCCCCCGCAGTTCTCTGGCAAATGGCAGAACAGTGGTGTGTGGGAAGGCGTTTCTGACAGGCAGAATTCTAGGGAGAGAAGGAAGTGCAGGAGCCAAAACAGGCCTGTTTCCTAACTAGAACTCACTGACAAGACACCCTTGAGCTCCCAATCCTTCTTAACCTCTCCCTTCCCTAAAGCTCTACCTTGATTGCAGCTTCCAGATTCTCAACAAGGAAGCTAGTACAAGTGCAGAAGTCTGGAAAATAGCAGCCACACCCCACCTCCCCCCAGAAAAAACAAACTAAAATGTAATTTGGTTTAGTCTCTTGCATCTCAGAGCCTGACACATCATAGGGTTGGGATAGAGACCCTCAAGTCACTGCACCCACTTCTTATTCAGTAGTGACATTTCACTGTGAAATTATATTATCCATCTTTCCTATAAATTCTTTTAATATTATGCATTCTTCATGTGAGTTCTTTTTCTTGTTACGAAATACCTAAGATCCTGGAGTTCACAATGCATACGGTCATAACCCTTTCCCTGTGTTAATATGCCTTGATAAGGAGGTCCGTGACTCTAAAGAAATAGCAAGCATGGATGCTCTAATAAAGTCTGATCAGCAAAAACTATTTTGAAACCTGCCTAAAGAAAGGTCATGGATGTTTTTCTTGGGGGTTACAGACTTCTGAAAATGCCTTTGTCTCCACACTGTGCTGAGATTCTGGCTGTCTTCCATGCAAGGATGGGGAGACTGGAAGCTGACAAGGACCACAGCTTCTGGATTCAGCTATACTGCCCTTCTGCAAACTCCACAGGGACAGAACAGGAAACCAGGAGAAGCTTCTGTGCAAGTAAAGAGGACAGCTGAGGAGAACAGAGCCTCACCACACAAAGGAAGAGTTGGGAAGCTCTAAGCACATCCAAAACATAGGAGACAGACCTTATCACTCGGGATTCTTAAGATTAAGGGTCTAGGGAGATCAGAAGCCTAGACAAACCCTGATAGATGCAGTTCTGAAGCAGGTAGCACCCTACAACTACTGCTGCTTCAAGTGAAAAACTTTCAATTACAGTTCCCAGGTTGGCAGATTTAACTTGATATTGAGGAGACATTTGCTACCTTAACAAGTCTCTAGGGCTACAAATCTGAAAAATACTAAAAAAGCTGTAAGATGTTTTAGCTAAAATTTCCATTAACAGCATTAACCCTGTCTTGTCTATGAAGAAAGCTAGCTCCGATAGAGAAAGTATTTTTCCCTGTGTCACAGACTGAAGCAATATCTCCTTGCTTCAACATCTTTAACAACACCATACACAAAGTATTACCTGCACAAATAAAAAGAAAATTTTTAATTAGAAAATCTCAATGTGTACATCTTGTCAATAAGGACAATGAACATCTTTGAGTATTAGTCAGTAGCAGCTATGTTTAGGCTGTTAGTGATTAAAAGCAGAGAGGTATTGTAGTACTTTGAAGAAAAGCTAGATATATTAATGATCTTCAAAAACAGAAAGAATGTTCCTGGCACTTACCATCCCTGTATCTAACACCCATTCCTAGCACAGTAATGGAACAAACATTGCAAGCAAAGACATGTTCATTGTGTGACCAGAGGAGGTAATAAAACTCATTTCCTGTGAATCTGTCTTACACTATCTAATATAAAGCATATCCCAAATTATGCCTCCCTTCATGGGTCTGGACACTCTTGTGTTGATTTTGTGCTGTCTAATTAGGAGTGGTCTCAGCCTCTGCCTTAATGGGAACAGTAGTTGAACCCCCTTCCCAGATATATGGCTCTTGATTTTAATGAAATTGGTATGAAACATAGCTGTGAGATTTCTATCCCACAGTCATTTGCATTCAATTGGATCAGCAAATCTGAAAAAGATGAGATACTCAGTAGTGTACGAGAACTGACAGATGCACGCACATATGTATTGCATAAAGATCCATGTAGCTAGTTCCCAGTCCCTAGGACTGCAAACTGAGATGTTTATAAGCAATAAACAATAATGAGGTTTTAAGTTAAAAAAAAAAAAAAAAGCAAACCCAACAAAACACAAGCCACCACTTTTAGAGAAAAAATTGTATTTCAGAAAACATTGCAAAAATATAAAGAATCAAAAGGCTTGAAAGACCTTTCCAGTCATAAATTGTTTAGTGGAAATTCTTTTTAACACATACTAATGCATTCAGTTAAATCAATTTGGATACAATGATCAGTTGAATTGAAAATTCAAAAAGTGGCAATAAAGAGCAGGTTCAAAATGTACTATTAACTACCACAGTGTTAAACTGCACTAAGGAGAGTATCTTGGGGTCTTAAAGAAGAACAAGCTCAAGGTATGCACAGACTGTCCTGAACCATGTCCTCTTTGGTAAATTCTTCAGAGCAAGAAAAAAATATACTATATTCAGTTGACTTGCTGCCCTCTGTTTTATTTCTCTTGGTACTGCTAGCTCTCTAGGGCAAGGATTGGGCTGTATTATTGCACTGGAAATATAGTTAATACATCTGGGCGTTACCATAATTCTAATAATAGTGACAGGATCAGAAACACAGGGACAAAGTTTCAGCTGGTATAAATCAGCTCAGACTACTGCTTTCAGAATGGTTGTTCTGTTTTACTTACACTGAGACTTTGACTCATCAGTATCACAAGACTCAAATAGGAAAAATTGCAATTAGCACATTTAGTGGGAAAACAATCTGAGAAAGAAAGCTGAAAACAAGAATGAACAAGAAACTGAAGGAAAAGAGACACTGCAAATCTGACAGCAGTTCCATATATAACAGTTTAGAAAAAAGTTTAATGATGTTTGAGGCTGCATTCAAAGATGCCCTGTAACCACAGGCAGCAATAATATAGTCCTAGGAATACTAGGACTATTATTCACAGCACTCAGCATTTCCAGTCAGATCTAAATAAATGGTAAGGATGTCAGAAGAGATTCACAAATATTAAAAGACAAAAATTTGCTGAACTTCATAAAATGAGGAATATTTCGGGGGACATACAATTTTTAAATGACTGAGAGGAGAATTATTTAAGATTAATTTAGCCTAATCTTCTACAGCATAAAATGTTCTTAAATTTGTAATTGAAAATGCGATCACATAACTGCCCACACAACTCATTAACATGATTCATGTCTTATTTAACATGAGCCTTTTTGATGTAAGCAGTACTGACAGGGATCATTCCACCATACAATTGTACTTCCCTTGTTTTAATTTAGCTTTTTTTCCCATGTGAAATGTTTGGCATGAAATTTTAACCCCAGTAGATGCTAGGCTAAGCAGACAGAACATAGCCACACAAAGAAGGAACCTCCCTAATAGCTGATGGCATCTTTCCAGTACAGGAAACAATTAGAGAATAAACAATGATGGTATATTAACTGTCTTGCCAACTGCAGCAGTGATAATAACATCTAGGTCATAAAGTGTCACATGAAGTCTCCTTTAAACATTAAAAATACTGTTATAAGCCTGTTTTTCTTGTATTTTGGTTTGATTTTGTAATTCTTGTTCCTTGATTTTACTGATATCAGATTTAAGCTTCTTGTCTCTACTTTCAAACTCTTCCCCTTTCTATTTTTGCTCACTTTTCTCAAGGTCTGTACTGTGTCTGTTCCTTGTCCATATCACTCCACCTATTTGTTTGTTAGATTCTCATCCAATCAGTTTGGTGTTTTTCTTTTTGTCCAAGTAATCAAGTACCTATTCTATCAAAGGTCTATTTCTATGGCACTACACTGTGTGAACTAGCTTCTGCATACAGTGAGTGAAAACTATTCATTATTATTTCTCTTCCTCCACCCACACAGTATTTGATATTCTGCAGATTGTTAAATGCCTGGAGAAATCATCATCATTCTTACATGTCTGGAAAGTGCTCAGCCAAGAGTGGGTGCTGCAACAAAGCACACAACAAGCCTTCATGTTAACACACATGGTAGGATAGATCTACTGCATGGTAGATAGAGGGATTCTTATGACACAAATACTTGACTAGAAAAACCCATGATTTCCAGTGCATTCATCTCATTTCTAACATACTGAACTGGTTTATGTACGGGAGAAGCATTTGCTGTGCTATTAATCACAGTGCTTCTGTTACTTGATCACATATATATAGTCATACATGTAACTAGCCCCTTTGCTAGAGACAGAAGGAAAGACTGGCATCTAGTTAAATTGCGTGGTTACACCACACCCAGGGTGTACGTCAAGATATATTAATTAATAGATGTACTTCAGCTACTGACAAATGGCTAGTCTGCCTTCTAACCATAACAAGAATTTGAACAATCAGATGAAACAGTCTCAGAGATATTCTGCATGCATTCCCCAAAAGAGAGAGATGACACTCTTTCAAGAGATAGGCCTTCAGTCTTGGGGAATATATTTCTTCTGCTGAGGGGAGACTGACACTTTGAATGTAGCAGGCAAGACAACAAAGGATGGAGCAGATCTCAACACATGGGAAGGAAGAGAAACAAAACAGCAGGCAATGGGAGATAGGTAGCATAGGTGACACTGACAAGGAAATGTGGTAAAGCCATGCAGGCTAGGATAAGCTACATGAACTCTAGCTAAAAAGGAAGGACAAATGAGGGTCAACATGAAAGGATGGTGCAGAAGTCAAAGCAATTTGAGAGTGAAGATGTAGGTCAGTGAATGCATAAGCAGCAGACAAGGGAAGGCAGTTCTTAGAAAGGCCAAGTTAAAGGACAAAAGTCTGAGAAGCTAACTAGCAGAAGGAAGAGGTCAGTGACAGAAAGCTAGAGAGGGTGTAGGAGAAGACAAAGGTAGTGCCATGACTGGCAGAGTAGGCATCAGAGGATTGATGCAACTTTGATTGGAAGAAGAGGGATAGCTGGCTCCATACAGTGTCTTGGACAGGAAGTGTCCAAGAGACAATCATTTTATTAAGATCATATTTTATTCATGACAGAAAGTCTGAAGGTCCCCACGTTCAGCAAGTTTTTTTCTTCATTAATGTCAAACTCAGTGCAGCCTGAGTCCTGCAGCATGGCAATAGCCTCAATACAGCAACTCCAAAATGCTTGGCTCACAAGAATGGAAGGAGAGAAAGGAGGGGGGGCACTGTGGGGGTGAGAGGAGGTTTAACAAAGAATCATTTTAACAGAAACTCCTGAGTAATGGCTCTGCCCTAGGCCAAGAATAACATCAGCTCAATGTCAGCAGTTAAGAAGGCTCAGCCAGGCCCCATGGCCAGCTCCAGCCTCCTCACAGGCACAAGCCAGTTTATGGCACTTTCCTGAGCTCATGAGCAGCCACATCTGCCCACCCAGAGCCCAGTGGACAGAGATGAAAGGAAGACCTCCTGCACTGAGTGGGAGCAAGAAGACTGTAGGTGAGAGAGGCTGAGGATGGAAACTACATGGCGAAGTAAGGGCCTTGAAAGAAGGAGAGCAAGAAGCAAAAAACAGAGGGCCTCTCTTTCAAGATGTTCCCAGAAAAAGATGAGGGCAACGTGCCTATAACCTATTCTCAAGGACCCTGACAAATGAATCATCTGCTTCACAGGGGGGAGAGTGGATGTTCAGACCTCCACATGTTAGGTCTGTTCATGGGAGTCCAGTCATGCCAGACTGCTAACAAACAGCTCCTTGCTATTGAAGACAAAGCTGTTTTGAATGTAGGTTTGTTCACCCAAAGGTTTCCTTCTCCTTTTAGCAAGGAAGCCTTTAGGACATCACTCAGAATACATCTCTATCTCTTTCCCTCTCTCTAATAACGAAGTAAGGTAACAAGTGTATCAATTAAATCATTGTAGCCTTGAAAGATTCTCCCCACAGAATTGAAATGCCGTTCCACACACCATGATCTACCTTTGGCATCTATGAGTCATCCAGAACACCAATAATACAAGCCCTTTTTCATATTTCCTCCAGCTCTTAAGATGTCAACATAATGGAAGAAGCTATTGGAAACCACAGTATCAAAATGCTATCAAAATCACTGCGAGTAACATTGTTTTTCTTGCAACGCACTTAAGAGCTACTTCCTTCACAAAATCTCTGCCATATGTACCGTCTCCAGGTTTGTTCTGCACATCTAAGACTCAGACAGCACTGCTACATCCCAGGCAAGATTTTTTTTAGTTACCTGTTGTCGTGCTTGGCTTTGCTCCAACAGCTGTCTTGACTGAAGTTTCTGCTGCTGAAGTTGTTGCACAGCAAACTGAAGCTGATAGCTGGGATGTGCCAGAGGACCCCGTGTTGTCTTGTAGACACTGGTCTCCATCTCTCCTTCCAAGCCAAAATGATGATTCTCTGGAGCCCTGAGGAAAGAAGAGCCACCATGTTTTTCACTCTGCATATAAGGACTCCTGCCTATAAGGCACTGCTGCTTCCAAAAAATTTCTTCATATTTAGCCAGCTATGAATTTTTATTAAGTGGCTTTAGCAAGTACAACACCTGCTAAAGGTGCCATGTGCCAACTGCTTCCTGCTAAGCACTTCCATGAATATAGGCTGGACTATATTACTAGACATTCTCTTGAGGACAAAAAAGGAAAGGAGAATAAAAACTCTAAACTGGAACATTTCTGAGGCTGATTAGCATTGAAAACAGGCAGAATAGCAGCAGGAAAAAAGCTGATTCCCCCATCACTAGTGAGATAATTATTTATTTGGATTTGTAGAGGCTTTAATACAGTAACACAAGGCTTACACTAAGCACATGCATGCTGCAGTGACAATGGAATAGAAACAGACATGCAGTACAACATTCAGAGAGGATGAAGGACTGGTTGGGTGAGGCTGGAACTAGGATACATACTGACTCCATGCAGTTACAATCCAAAAGGCCTGGGGGGAGTGAGATAGGCTCATTTCTTTCATCCTCAGAGAAATGCAAGTTTTTCTTAGAGGACAAAAGGCCTCCTGCAAAGAGACAGGAAGCTCTTACAGCCCAGGCTTACATGGTAGGAGTTCAGCTGTGGCCTGCAACATGGTAAGTACCAAGAGAAGCTCACTAGTTTGCTTTGAAGTTTCCAAGCCTTGGCGAGAAGGCAGCAGCCCCACACTTCTACACAAGGCTGAGGGGCTTTGCAGAGAGCAGGTGGCAGACTGACAGGACCACGAGGTGTCCTGAAGAGGCCATAACAGCCCAGCAATTCACACATTCTGTGTTCACACGACAGATGTTGTACGACCCACTGAATCCTGACACTGGCTAATATAACATTCAAGCCTCGATGCCCGAGCTTCCCAATTGTCTGTTATCTCTGACATGTTTCTCTCAGCCACTCCTTCCAAATATTTCCTTTGGATTCCCAGGGCAGACTTCCCTTATATTTCCTATCTACATCACACGTAACTGGGATGTAAAAGATAATTGGTGTCTTTCGTGCCACAATTTAGAGTGTAGGTCATGGTTTTGGCAAGAGAGTTAACTGCAATCTCTTTGCTTCAGGAACCTATCAAAACTTACAACCTAGATTCTTTAAACGTAACACAGTTTGCCTTGAGCGTGTTGCTTCTTCCCCCAATAGTTTTGTCATCGCAAACCCTTAAAATATTCAGAAATAAGAAAATTCACTCAAGCACTCTTTAAGCTATTCATTCAAGTTCTATTAATTCTAGAAACTAACACCTGTTCCAACTCCTCCCATATCTACCTCCAGCTCAGAACCTGCAATACGTAAAATTCATCCTTTGATTCAAAAGAATGCTTAGAAGCTCAGGATTGAGCAATTATTTCTAAAATGTAACAGTCAAGATAAAATGGAGGAAAAAAACCTGATATAAATGAAAACTCCACTAAAACTGGACCTGCCAATAGCCAGATTTTGTGCCACAGAGATAACATGCAACGACTGCAGTCCACAGTACTGTGTGGGCCACTATCTAAATGGCAACATTTTAGTAACATTTCCCTGATTCTCATTTCTTTTGTTTTGAGATATCTAGCAAACGATTTACTGTTATGAAATTAAAAATACTTAAGTCTGACTTTTTAAAAATGCACCAAGATTGCTGCCTTTCTCCAAACTTTGTCCAGTTCAGTGAACTCTCAGATTCTCTCACTGGGTTTCTTACTTGCTTTAATTCACTTTTTCAGTTTCAACCAATATACTGGACATAATATTGCCCAGGTAAACTTGGCTTAATTTACGCAGGAAAGCACTGTTGAAACTACATTATTAAACCTTTAGGAAGAACTAAATTTAAAAACACCAAACAAAACCACAAATCTCTGGCTAAGATTTTCTTGTGGCACAGTCTTATACACAACTCCCTGCAGTTCCAATACCTTCTCTCCACATGACAGCAAAACAACACTTTTTTTCTATATTGCCTATATTGATAACATTGTTGCTTGGCTAAGCAGACTTTATCCTCATGGCCAGCAGAATCATTCTGAATGTGCCTCTGTTGGCTTCAATGGGTTTTCCTTATTTACAGACAGAAATCAAAGTAAATGCATTATTCTGCATTTATGCATTATGTTGCAAAAGACAACTTCAACCTTCTATAATATAAACATACAATACTTGACAACAGAAAGCCAGTGTATTTGCCAATCTTGGGGCCACTTTCATATCGAGATCTTTCATCTGCAGTTTTGTAAAGTCCCCACATAACAAGTTATCAAGTGCTGATATTACAACTAAGGTGATGTTGCCCTGGTACGGAACAGGCTTAGGATCTGAGACTCAAAACAGTGCTGCCAGAGACATGCTCCAGCTCTCAGTCCATTTGCCAAGCTCATGGGAATGCACCACATAGCATCTCCTATTTTCAGTCTCTGCCTGTCGGATGATTTATTAAAGCATGACAACACTTTTGCACCCTGAAGTAGAAATTAGTTCTGCCTAAGGAAATTACAACAGGTTCAGCACCATAATGAAGGCTGCAAAACAACTGTAGAGGACCTCACACCTTAATGGATATTAAAGAGTTCACTTGTTAGGGAGATTGCATAAATACCCCAAACTGAATTAAAAGCTTTCTCAAAACTTACACTGTTTTAGGGAAAGCCAAAAATAACCAGAAAAAAATCTCCACACCCCTAAAGGAAATGAAGATTGTAGAGTCAGTACTCATCGACCTGCTTGTTTTCAATTCAGGATTATTGTTTGAACGCTAATGATTGAATATTCATTACTTCACATGTACAGACAACAGATTTAGGCACGGATGCACACACATGCAAATTGGAAATAGAAATTCCTGCCTGTGCCACCAGAAAAGATTTGGTTTCATTTTGTCAGCCAGGCTGGTTGTGAGCATTCTTCTCACAGCTTGCTCAGAATTATTTATGAGTTGCTTAGTTTAGAGACCTGGCCAGGATTCAGGCCTTCGCTATGCACAGGAAATCTCAGCCTTTGGAATTATGGACCATCCTTTGTAAGCAAGATTCTGTCTTTCCAGCAGCTCTTCAGGCTACTCAGTGCTCTTGGCAAGAAACCCACTGTATGCCTTTCTTTCAACTGTAGTTTTCATAAAGGCTAGGCCAGAATTCTCTCTTCCAAATCACTGACAGCATAAAACCTCTGTGCTGCAGTTTTTTGTACCACAAAAGATACAGGTTTGATTGCGAGATTATTTTCAACAAATCACAATGTGATTATGATTGGGATCCAGTCCAAAAGGGCTGGAACACAATAAATTCATCTCCAGGTTTTCTGGTTCTAAACTACCTTTCTATTCTAGTTCCCTTTTCCGATTTGTTAGCTCTTTTCTGATGTAAGCAACCTTTATGCAGTTAACTACTTACACCTATACTAGAAACTAATGTCAGTGTACTAAAATACTAAACACTAATAAAATTTTAATGCATTTTTTCATTGATGACAGAAAAAAGTCTCTATGACATCCAGTCTCCAAACAGAAGGGATGTGATTATCAGCTCTTACAAGAAAGGAGAGAGCTGTCTTCTGTTTCCATTTCAAAAGAATTTGAAGGGAATTCCAATTCTTGTAGACAAGCCCAGACCCCAGAACACCAGTCACTGAGGACCTCATAGTTACAAAAACTATAGGACAAACAGCAAGTCTGTACTAAAAGAATGACACATCAGGCTTATATTTATATTTCAAATGAAGCCCTCTTCCAATGGCACAGCTGGGCACTTGCTTGATACTAGTTCCTGTGTGGTAGGCAACAATACCAATTCATGAAGTACTCTGATGCTTTCCATATATCACTCACAAAGAAGGCACTTTTGAAATACTTGAAAAGTGTCTACATCTCATTGAAAGGCAGTGCAAACTAGGCTCAAATTACTGTGTAAATGAAGCTTCATCATTCATGAAGAATATTCCTGTTTAACCCTTCTTAGTTTGTGAGAACTGATAGCATCATAGCAGAAATCAGTATGTCTGGAGGTCTAGCAAACTGAGAAAATAATTATTTTCCTACTAAACAAGGAAACAAGCTGACAATGAAAATACTTTGCATCCTTTCCTGTAAAGGCTGGAGCTAAGGAGGAACAAGAGCCATTGCTGGCAATAAGGGAACCCAGTGCATTTATAAATCAGTGCTCTCACCTTGCCATAGAATGCAAGACAATCTTGGGCAGCAGTTTCCTTCCCAAAGGGCATTCACATGGTATGACAAGTCTAGGAAGTTTTCTCCTTAAATCCTTAGTGAGTACCAGCTGCTAGAAAGTAGTTGGCATAGTAACTAATGATTTTGTCTAGTGTGGCAGTTCCCAGCATCCTGCTGACTTATGTTCAGGCACTCAGAAAAACACAGAACATTTTCTTTGGCACACTGTGTGCTTCTTCCATCCCTAACAATAGGTCCTAGATTGGGACTGGCTACAGAGTAATGATAAACAGAGTGGGATGAAGCCCAGGATGCTGGGGTCCTGGCTGGGATGCAGGAGTTTTGGGCCTCTCACTTGCCTTGAGGCCTTTCTTTGTCTTTTTTCCTCTTTCCTTCCCCTCAGCTTCAAAAGCAATAAATTAAAATCTGAAAACCAGAGCAACAAGTCTTTGAGAGTGGTCCACTCCTGGCCTCTGCTGTTATCAGGAGTGTCTATGAAAGAGTGATTTTGGCACAGTTTAGTCAGCAAGAGTCTACATTTTAGCAAGGACTGTAGCTCTGATTGCTGGAACATGTAAGCCTCTAAAAATCTCCTGCTTTGTAACATAGCATGAGCTGTGTTACAGAAGTAAGGAAAAATAGTTTCACAAAACACCAGGGGCGAGCAAAGCATTTTGAATATTCCTAAAAAAGCTAAGCCTGGGAGTTTGGAGATCTGAAGCACTGGGAGCTGTCCAGAACTTGCCATGGTACAGGTACTTGGAGACAGGGAAGGGGCAGGAAG